CTACAAATTTCTGTACTTTATAATATCGGTCCCCCTGTGGGTATATGGAACAAAAAATTTTTCGGTATGTTGAGGATTTTTATACCCTTCAACATACGTAAAATTGGACCGGTATTGACCTTATATATCAAATTAAATAAAATTCGGGCGGTACACCAAAACATATGTCATTTATTTATTTTTTTTTTTTTTGTAAAGAAACTTTCTACACACTGTGAGTCTAATTTACTAAATTACGGTCGGTTTTAATTGGATAGTTGAAAAACATGTTCCAGATCCTCAAACTTCTATAATTTGGGAGTTATCATTGTATTAGGGCTAGCTTAAAAAGTAGACCAAAAGTTTACCAATATTGATCAGTATTTGGCAAGCAAAACGCCCGGTCCAACTTTTTATTCCCTCCACCACGAGGATGACATTGAAGATATGTAAAATTAACTCATGTTATGATAGGACCTTTAATATACCGAAAAGGACGTGAAGAAAAAATGATTACCTAATAGGGGGCTAGAGTTTAATTGGGCTATAACCAAAACGGGGATCGATTTTGATCCATTTTGTGTAGTAAAATCATTTTTAGTACATAGATGTGGGGTTACCGTTTATGGGGACTACACTCAATAATTTTTGGTCCAGACATGAACAATGAGAAAAAAAATACAGCCAAATTAGGTTGGAAAACGTGCCGAAATTCAGATATACACTCCACTTTATGCTGAAAGGTGTAAACAGGGGCTGAAGTTTAGTATTTGTGATGCCTCGTGAGTTATAAACTAAGTTCAGTTGCTGGTTTAAGCAGATGTGTGAAAGTTCACATTGTCATGGTGCACCATTATTCTTCTCTTGTCCTTTATCGAATTTCTTCGAAGACTTCAGGTAGGAAAATTGTGATGTACCACTCCGAATTGAGTATATTCAAAGAAAACCCCGATCATTTGCTTCGAAGTGCTTCATCCACAAATGAAATAGCACGATCACTTTTTTTCAAAATTTCCTGATACTGTATGAGCCCTTTTGGAGCGACTGTCTAATTGTGCGGAATATGAGATAGAACATTTTTAACGACCAGGAGTTCATGCAATATTGAATGTATATGGAGAAAGAATTGACCAAGGATGCCTCTATCTCATGAAACGAGACCTGATCAAACTATATTTGTTCATCAATAACTATCTTGTCCTCTTTGAAGTAATACACACTTGCCAGCGTTATCCTCGAACCACTTCTGAAACTCGTTTAACATTTGCTCGATGAAAACATTTGCCTCATAAAAACATTTGCCCGGTAATGTAGTATAGTTATTATTGATTTCAACTATATAATGACTTTGGATATGAAAAATAATTACTATAATTATAAAAGACATAGAAGAAGAAGCTCCGTCATACATTTAAATTAATCGAAATTAATCTATTCAATGCCTCGATGCCTATCAAAATCCCAAATATCCTATTTAAGTATATGCTTTAGATAACAATATTCTTACTAATACCACCTTGCAAGTCGCATTGTGCGTAAATGAGTTTTATATATGAAGAGAGAGGGAGAGAGTGTGTGTATGTGAATGTATGTTTTGTGTGCGTTTGTGTTAATAATATGGTTTTAAAAGTTTGTCTTTGATATTTTGACATAATCCTTTGACTTAATTACATTTTAAGACGCACACACACACACGGACGCACAAATGCACGCACACATACACATACACCGGCAATAACATTTTATCTAATTCATTATTTTTTGTTTCCTTCATCCTCTCCCTTCTCCTCCCTGTGGTTATGATATAAAATAAAATGACTTTCATGTAGATATTATGTGTGGCAGGCAACACATTGTTTGTTGTTGTTGCTATTTGTGTACAAGTGGAATTATTGTTGGTATTCTCTCTTAACAACAAGTCAACCATCCAAGCGTTTCTAATGCCACACTGGGGCAACAATAAAAGGTTATAGACAATGAAGATAAAACTCGAAAATACAACAAACACCCACACACACACAGACACACACTCACTTATTTTTATGGCTCTTCACTTCTTTGTGTTCATGTTTTCCGTTCTCCGCATTGTTATTATGTGCTTAAGTTGTAAGTTGTAGGAGAAAAACAGCTGTTTTTTTTTTGTATTTAGATCAACAATGGAATTTTACAGCTGTGTGATTTGAGCTTTGTTCCCTTTAAGTGTGTTCTAAATGGGTGTGTATGATATTTGTTTTACTTTGTAACAAAATTCCATAACAGTTATGTTTAAAGTCAATATTATAGAACGGTTTATATATTTTTCTCGAAGATGAGATGAGACAGACCGATGAAACATCAAGTTTCTTAAAAACACGACTTTGACAGAATTCTTGTGGTTGGCTTGGATAATCTTTTTAATGGAAGTTTAAATCACTTTACGACTATGTTAGCCCTTGAAAAATGTTTTTAAAAAATCCACGCCTTATGTTAGCCCTTGAAAAATGTTTTTAAAAAATCCACGCCTTATAAGGGTCCGTCGAGAAATATTAAAAAAAAATCCACGCCTTATAAGGGTCCTTCGAGAATTATTTAAAAAAAATCCACGCCTTATTAGGGTCCTTCGATAAATATTTAAAAAAATCCACGCCTTTAAGGGTCCTTCGAGAAATATTAAAAAAACCACGCCTTATAAGGGCCCTTTAAGAAATATTTAAAAAAAATCCACGCATTGAATAAGATAATCTTTTGATAATTTTTTTTTAAAAAATCCTCGCTTCATAAGGCTATTAAAAAGTATTTTTAAAAAATTCCATTCTTTATAAGGCTTAATATAGATCCTTAAAAAAATAAGAAAAAATCCACGCCTTGTATAGATCCTTGAAAAAAATATTTAAAAAAAATCAACGCCTTATATAAATCTTTGAAAAAATATTTTGAAAAAACCCCACCTTTCATATAGGCCCTTGAAAAATATTTTAAAAAATCATGGTGTTCGGATCATTAGTATGCCCTGAAGAACGACTGGTATCCTTGCAAGGCCTTTGTTCAACAAAGTCCCGACATGGAACTTTAAAAAATTCTTCCATGTTTCCTCTAAAAAGTGTCTTTCTTTAGTGGGTCACTGTAAAACAATTAATCTACCTGCCTACCTGAACTTAAAACCCTTCTCTTCAAAGCAAAATAACATAAATTCTCATATTTGGCTCCATTGCATCCTTTATCCACATTTTCTTGATTATTTAAACAAATCTATATTTTCATATTTGTGTGATTACAATTATTATTGTTATCCTCTGACATAATCCATTGCAGTATACTTTGGGTTATATTCCACCACTACTTTTCTGATATATTATTTTTCTCAGTTCATTTGTAAGTTTTGTTGTTGTTGTCATTGTATTGTTTCATATACCGTATTTTTGTACTGGTTGCTGTTAATCCCATTTGAGTGTTAATGTCGTTGTCCTTTCCTGTATGCATATGGATATTGATGATGTTGTTGGTCGGTTGGTGTGCTATACTGCCGAGATTTTTGAATGGTTGAAATTTTTGGTATTGGAAAATCGATTAAATATTATGTACAAAATGTATATACATACATATGTAGGTATGCATATACATTTGTACATAATGACAATTCAATCGTAGCCAGTCAGTCAGTAATGTGGCGGGCAGGCGACACAGGACATCATGTGTTTTAAACTCCCTCAATCCATTCATTAATTTTATATTGGCTATACATATATCCATACGGAGCACACACATATATACACACAAAATGAAATGAAATGCATATTTGTAGATATATGTATAGGTACAGAGAAAGAGATATAAAGAGAGGGGAGAGAGAGCGAGCAAATAGCAATGAGAGATCTACTTCAATTAAATGTAAAGACATATTAGTGTGGATCGGGAGCTTAGAACATAGAAGATGTTCTCACATTTCGCAATTTGTCAACGGAAGAAAGGAGTCGGCATTGCAACAACTCGAAATAGTAAAATAAATTAAACAAGCATTACGATATTCGATTTTGTTTGATAAATTTTTTTTTTTTTCCGCTGAGATGATTATTCGTCCGATTTTTAGCCTTCCTTGATCATGGGGTACTGCCATCTATCGTTGCCTAAAAACTACGCAATCAAATATTTTTGGTGAAATGTTATTCCCACTGATTATTACGCTCAAATGAATCACCCTAATATCGATTGATATAAATTCTGTTCCCAAATCGTATTAATTTTCTCTTTTGAAATGCATGAAAATTCAAGTATCCTTGCATATCATGCAAGCAGTTTGTAATCAAACTCATGCGTATGACCTCCTCACTCAGCAAGCAACAATAATTTTGTTTGTACACATAAAAATCTTGCACAATTGATGATGTTGACATGAAAAATTCATTCATTTTGACATTCGGTTCTTCATTTTTAATGACACAACAATCGATGCCACCCTCTGCTTCGGGTGAAGTCCCTGCAGACTGCCTTAATAATATAATCGATCTTCCATAAAACAAGTTTTCAACGAATTCTATATTTAATATGTAGCTAGGCATTCGTTCGTTGTTGCATTAAAAGGATTTGCATGACATAATTGTTGTTGGAAACGATGATAGATGATGGTTTCAATTATGAAAATGAAGAGAGTGAACGGTTTTCGGAGCTATAACCGAATCAAACACACAACGGTGCTTCAATTTCAGAATTTTTGGGAGAGTTTTGTTCTTTTTAAACAAATTCGCTGTAATTTTATATTTTGAATTCTCATTGGATAGAAAATATCCTTACTAAAAATATTTAATATTGGTCCTAGCTCAATTTTCTAACCTGAGTGTCTGTAGTTTTCTTTATAACATTGTAAATGTAATGACAGCAGTACTCAGGACGCAAATTATAATTTATTCCACAACTCGAAGTCCCCATAAGACGAAGTTTTTTTTTGTTCGGAATAATGGTGGTCCATGTTATGGAAGTTCAACTGTAAAAAACACGTTTCACCTCTTTCCCATAGACATATAATTATTACCTATATACATACATACATGTTACTCATACTCAAATGTGAACTGGAGCGTATAATTCATAATTACATATTGACAATCATACGCACCGGTGTACAAATGCAAGTAAATTGCACTTCTATTATTCCATGGGAAATATGCAAATGAGATAAACACACACACTCACACACACATTGACACATTCAATTGATGTTCTCCTAAAAATGTCTTTCATCAGACGTAATTATGGTATATGGGATGATAGGAGAAGTAGAGATATGATGTGCAGTGTTGTTTGGAATGCATTCAAGTGAATATTTTCTTAAAAGATTTTGATTTTTAATTTCTTTTCAATGTTTATCTAAGCAACTTTATCCTTTCTTGTTATTCTTAACTAAATCTTCAAGTTATTGTGTGTGTGGGTTTTGTTTTTATTATTCAAAGAGCGATGGATGGTCTGTCTGCCTGCCTCTAAAGATATTTGATGATTATTACAGTTTTAGAATGAGAAAAAAACATTAAAGTTTTAATTAAAATTTTCTTTTGTTTTATCTTGATAATTGTTTTTACTGCATACATTATTATTTATAATCTTCTTATTGTCATGATGTATTTGTTTTTACTAATTTTCTTATCGTTTTATTTGGATTTATTTGCAGACAAACACTTCCAGAGGTCAATCCCCATATCCGCCATCACAAGGTCAAAACTCAGGTTCCTATCCAAGTTCGCCCCAGCAACAACAGCCACAGCCCGGGCAACAGCAACAACAGCAGCAGCAACAGGCTCAGCAACAACAACAGCAGCAAAGTAGTAGTGGTAGTGGTGGCGGTAGTGGAGGTGGTCCACCACCGCCGCCACAATCTTCAAATCAAGGCACAACACCATCTCAATATTCACCATATCCCCAGAGATATCCAACACCGCCTGGCCCAGCGACAGGACCAAATCATCGAACTGCCTATACGACGCATCAGGTGAGAAGCATTTTCAAATAGAGATCTAAAATACTAGTCAGTTCCGAGTAGTATAAATGCAGATGTAGAATCTACGTTGTAGGTTCTACAACAGATAATTATCTACAAAAAATACAAAATTTTTTTGGAGCCGAATTGTTTTACAAGAATAGAATTTCTGGAACAGCATGTATAGACATAATGAATTTATATAGTTTTTCCAAAGAAAAATATAATTTCGAGGTCTGTTTATAGCAGTCTATTCAGAGATGTTCCACAGATCAGAGAAGATTCGGCGTCAGTGGCTTGTTAGAGGACCCACTTGATAAATAGAAATCCCTCCTGTCCATAGAAGGTTTTTAAGATGCCTTCTAGAGGTAGAGAACCTCCTCATTCCTTTTATTACAAGAAGTCTTTATAAGGCCTTCCATTTACCGATTTCCAATTTTAGGACTTTTCGAGGTAGTTCTATAAAATGAACTTTAGAGAGGAAGTAAATAGAAATAAAAATTTACAGATTATCTGTATTAGTCTATTCTTCCTGAGGTCATCATAGATAGGAACATTGCAGAAGACAAGGCTCTGAAGAGATCTTGCATAGACTCTTTGATTATCTTCCTGACAGTATTCTTCTTCATAGAAGAGAACTGTAGGTCTCCTTCTTCCTAGAGGAGAACTGTAGATCTCCTTTTTCCTAGAGGAGCTGCAGGTATTCTTATTCCTATGGAAGAGCTGAAGGTTTTCTTCTTCCTATGGAAGAAAACTTTATAGAGGTTTTCAAGAGTAGGAAGTTATAGAGGTCTTTTCTGCACTTAAGATTTTACAGGGCATTCTATAGGTACGACATATTGCAGAGATATTCCAATAAAGTGCATGATCTATAGATAGAATATTTTCTATAGCCGTATGACCTAAAAATCGAACAATGTTCTAAGGTCCTTTATATCTGGTTCACATACACATACAGACGGAGTAGAAGGTCCTCTGTCTGTAGAATATGATGAAATGAAAGGCTTTCTTGAGGAACTCTGTGGATAGATTTTCTTTCAATGACCTTCTATAGATATAAGACGTTTCTGAGGTCTTCTTCGATAGGTGTCATATAAAATATACCTTTCGGAGATCTTTTGTGTCTAGGCGACATTCTGAAGTTATTCTATGGAAAGAATTGTTATCTGTGGTCTTCTATAAACAGAATACTATCCAGGCAATTTTTTTTACATTTCAGATCTTTGTGAGGCCTTCCGTAATAAAGTCTTGTGTTTTGAATTCTAATCTAAAGATTTAGAGATTTTTCTAAAATTGAGTTCCGTACACTTTTCTACCCTTAGCCTTATGGCTAATGAGGGTATATACACATTGATAAGCTTATAATGTGCTAAATCGAAATATTGTCTTTTAGACCCCATATTTGAGACAATTTCGAGCCGATTAACAAATGTCCGCCCGACTGCTTGTCTGGCCGGCTGGCGCGCATGTTAGCTCTTGAAGGAAGTGACCGATTTCATCCAAACTTTACACATCTTATTATTTCTTCCAAACTTAGTTCAAATTCGAAGATGGGGAATATCGGTCCACTCCTTCTAGTACCTTCCCCACAAAATGTTCCTCTCCTTCTGGTACCTTCCCAACAAAGGATCAACATTTTACATGCAAATAATTTAATAATTTGAAGCGAAGATTTAATTCATTGTTAGCACATCGTAATATTGTACCAATCATACTTTACATCCGACGATGAGATCTATAGGTCAACCTCTTTTGGTACCTCTCCACTGTTGGTCAACTATTTGAATAATATAACCTGTGTATAATTCCAAAACCCCCGTAAACCATATGCTGAGGGTATATATCTGTCGGCAAACACCGACCGACACTTTTTTATTTGTTTTAGAAGCCACCCCTAAGCTCTTCTATAAATAGAGGACATTCTTGGGGTTTTCTGTGAGCTTAAAATGATATACAAAATATTTTCATTCATAATGTTGACGCTTCCTTTATATCTGGTGTAAAACTTTACCTCCTTTTTATAACAACCAGATAATAAATAATGATTGATGTTCTATCACCAACTCCACCACCACCACCACCAACATCATCATCGTAGTCATCGCCGTTATTACCATTGGAATTCATTTGATTTTTCTCGATTGTTTTGTGTTCCATTCATTCTCTACATTTAACATTATCTGCTCGGACATCATTTGCATTTCATTTAATTGCCTCGTCCCTATATGACTTGATGTTATTATCCTTTGTGTGTGTGTGTGTGTCTCCCACTCATACCTCCACCTCCTCCTTTTCTTCCCTTTGTTATACATTTTTAATTCATTTTCAATGTTCGATGATTTCTCTGTAATTTTTGAGTTCATCAGTCGGTCCTTCTGACTGACTGACAGTCAGTCAGTTTGCCAGTCAGCCAGTCATTCATTCATTTGCATATTCGTTTTTTGGTTTGTCATACTGACGTGCTGCACACTCAACTCAGTTGCACAATAATTGTTGCTAAGTGTGTGTGTATGTGTGCTTGTCCTTATATTAGGTGTGAGTGTTTACGTGTGTGTGTATATGTATTTGTGTGCTTTAGGATATTCATTGCTATTTAAAACAAATTTATTGTGAATTTCAGTCAGTCAGCCAGCCATCCAGCCCGAATAGTTAATTAGAATTGGAATGTGAATACCAAATAAAATAAAATTCTTCTTCTTTTTTTTGAATTATTGATTTTTTCTTTTCCAACAACATAGCAACAATTAGGAAAATATTAATGTTTAAGTGTTTAAATTATGGCATTGTTTGATGTTGGATTTTTAAAACGTTTAAAACATAGTTTGGCCTAATAATGCGGCTACGGCTTTTCTACTACTGGTCTACATACCCAACAACGACAGATCAGGATTTTTCAACAGTAGAAAAAAGACCAATCCACCGAACTGTTTATGATGGTCTATTCAGGCATGTTCCACAGTTAATAGGCATCTCTTCGTCCGTCTTACGGTAGATGAACTTTCTAATATATGAGTCGTTTATTTTGTGGTTTAAGTCCATTTTATGTTATGATACAAATCTTGGTTTTCTAGAAAAGTTTACAAAACATTTTACGTCATATATTCTACTATGTTTAAGGATACAAAATTAATATTACTTAACAATATTTTTGAAATAAATCAAACTCAAACCTACAAATTTCTCAATATAAGAAAAAAATTGACTTAAACCTCTTTCAAAATAACCGACTCATATATAAACCCTTCCTCTCTATATATGACTTCGTAGATGACCAATAGGTAGAATACATTTCACATACTTTCTATAGACAGAAGACTTTCTAGATGTATTCAAAATGGACTTCTACAAAAAGAAAAGAATTTTTATATAGAAAATGGACTTTTCAGACATCACAGGCCACAGAAATTATATATATATATATATTTATTAATACGGACTTTTCAGAGTGTGTCATATATAGCAAAAAGAAGGCACTTTCAAATGTATTCAATAGATCATTTTGAAACAAATATATTTATTATATTATATACGTTCATATGACTCTATATGGATGCCTTTTCCCGTCCAGAGTGTGTCCATATATAGACAATATGTTTTGTGGACAAAAGACTTCCATTGATTCTAAATTGATCTTTAGAATGTTCTCCAAAAACGGAAGACTTCATAAAGAACTTTTATAAACATATAGAGATACAAGAGGCTATAGTGGACTTCTTTGCGATAAAGTCAGTCTTCTAGAGGTCTTCTATGGATATACAATACAGGGACATTATATACAAAAGACTTCCCTAAGGTCCTCGACGACAAGAAGATTTTCAGAGATAATTTATAGATGAACAGATTTTAGTGGCTTCTCAAAATAGGGAATGGTAAAGACTCATGATCGTCCTTGAACCACTTTCCTGATTAGAAGCCTTGAAGTCTTCTATAAAAGAAATTCCTGATATATTTTACTAAATTTCTGATCAGCGGTCTTCTATAAATCCAACACCTTTCAGATGTTTACTATGCCCAGAAGACAATCAATGAGTCTAAAAGACCTGAAACTGAGATCTGAAACTAGCCTTCTTTTTTCGAAAGAAAAAAAGATATTGAAAACTTGTAAAAAATTGTCAGTCGATGTTGCCGACAGATATATACCCTCAACCTATGGTTTGCGGAGGTCCTCGGAATTACACACAAGTTTTGTTATCAAAGAAGGTTTTTATCAAATAGGTTTCGGATTTGCTGTTGATCAAATCGGTTATTCAATTCGCTTCAAATTAAAATTACAAGTTTATAAAATATTGACCCTTTGTGGGGGAGATACTAGAAGGATAGGCCGACGGGTTCCACCTTCGGACTTGATCTAGGCTAGGTAAAGATAATAGTTTGTGCAAGGTTTGGTTCAAATCGGACATTCCATTCGCCTCATATTGGATTTATAAATATTGACAATTTTGACCATTTGTGGGGGAAGTACCAGAAGAAGCGGACCAATGGGTCCTATCTTCCTACTTGATCTAAGCTTTGTTAAGATAATAGGTTGTACAAAGTTTGGTTCAAATCGGATAGTCCGTTAGCATGATATTATAAAACTATTTTTTTGCACAATTTTGACCATTTTGTGGGGGAGGTACCAGAAGGAGTGGATCGATATTTCCCATCTTCGAACTTGAACTAAGTTTGGAAGGAATATTACAAATCCGATACTACTTTCTAAAGATATCGTGCACACGAGCCGGCCTGACAGACTGACGGATATCTGTAAATCGACTCCACATTGTCTGAAACGTATTTGGCCCAATGAAACATGGTGTCTAAAACCAATATTTCGATGAGACTCATCAAAGTGTATATACCCCCATTAGCCATAAGGCTGAGGGTATAAATAGAAAACCTTTTAAATCTTCCATAAATTCAAAATCTCTCTTCTTCATACAGACCCTTTCATAAAATATCCTCATGTTGGAGAACTTTTTAAAGTTTTCTATAGAATATATACTTGATGTATTTTACTAATGATTTAGCTCTCTGATTAGTTCTGCAGATAGAAGGTATTCTAAGATGTTCCATGGAAGATTTTGTTTTCGATATATAGATAGATTTGATTGAGGACCCTTCTGATGACTTCCATAAAAATACATTTTTGGGGTCATCTATAAAACTCATAGATAGGAGATGTTTTTTTGATGTCCACCATCCTAAGGCTTTCTGTGACTAAAAGACGTTTCTGAGGTTCCCCAGAAATCCATCCAGAGATATTTTTACATTGAAAATCTTTCTGAATTTAAATCATTCTTCTGAGGACTTATAGCCTTCTGTGATTTGTCAAAAATATATAAACGTGAGAAAGGCAAAATCTACATATGCCATAACTTTCGAAAAAATAAAAAATAAAAAGTATTATATATTTATATGTGTAGTTGCTAATTTTTATTTTATTTCCATGTAACCACATGACATCCAAATCTTTTATTGAACGTATTAAAAATAATTGACATAAATCATTAATTTGAAATGTAATAAAAATATTTCTGGAACACAAAAAATACTTTTCAATCTATTATATTTACGTCGTTGTGGTATGAATGCTGCACATGTAATTTTAATAAAGGATTAATTTTATTCATATGTATGTAGATTTTTTTCACAAAATCTTCATCAGTATGTATGTGATAGTGTGTATGGAGCTGTGTGAACACAACACACACAATGTTTTTCATTTCATTATCAAACAAAATCGTGCTCTTTCGACTTCAGCAAAAAGAAAAAAATGAAACAAGGACACAGAAAAACATTTCGTTCGGACGTGTTTTCTTTCACACACACATGTCCATAACTTTTTTTTTCTTTTTACAATTGTTGTTCAATTGTAGCCACAAACCAGAAAAACAAAGTGAAAAAACGCAGCGTTCCACAGAAAACGCACACACAGAGATGCAAAAAAAGAAAAACTACTGGAAAAATACAATTTGTTTCGACATTAGTTGCCACAAAAACTAGTGATTTTTTTTCGTAAATATATCCTTTTTTTTTTGTATTCTCCCTATCCATTTTCCATTTAATTTTATAAATATTTTTTCTATAAAAATAGGGTTTTGTTGTATTTTCTATTTATATAACATGTTGTTGGGCGCTGTGGGAAAACAACAGCTGAATTATTAATTTATTTCCTTCGCCAATTTGCAATGTTCAATTTAATTTATTTACTATTTTGTTTGTTTTTTTTCTTCGTCTCTCTTTTTTCAGTATCCGGAACCAAATCGGCCTTGGCCTGGCGGTTCATCGCCTGCACCTAGTCCTGGCCCCGGTAGTCATCCCCTGCCACCAGCATCACCTCATCATGCCCAGCACGGTGGTCCACCGCCAAGCAGTAGTCCGAGTCATGCGCCCAGTCCGTCACCTCAACCTTCACAAGCCTCACCATCACCTCATCAGGTAAGTGATGACAGTTTTTGGAATTTTTTTATTTTGTAGCTATTTGTATCCCTGGATAATTTGGTTAAGGCATCCATATATTGATGTGGAAATTTATTGAGGAGAAGAGACGTGCAATTATACAACAATATCAATCGTTAAAAATACCCCTACTTGTTATCTAAAGATATTAAAAAATCCTGCCTCATGTCGGAATGGGTATTCCACTAAAAATAGTTTGTTCTAAAAATCATTAGAATGTCTCCCCAAAACAAGTTCCTGGTTCCTTAAAAATTGAAAAATTTTGAAATGATATTCTAAAAGGTCTCCTATCTAAAGGTGAGGGTTATAGAAAAATTAAATGTTAAATATGAGATGTCCTTATTTCATTAGAATTCTTTCATCAACACTTCTGTCAAGGAAATCCGTATATATCATACCTTCAAAACTTTTGCTACTATTCATTGAAGACCTATAGAAAAAGATCTACTCATAAAAAGTTTTCAAAGACCATTTTATCCATTAATCTTCCATGTAAAAAGACAAATATGGACTTGGTTAAGTTCTGCAACTATTTTCTTTAACCTTTACCATGAATGTTTTAAAAAATATACATAGTCTTCTGCCCATCAACAACTTGAAAAAAGCTTCTACTTATTGAAAATTTTGAAGACAACTTTTTGGAAATGTTCTGTTTGTAAAAAACCAGGGAAGAAAGTCCCACCATTTATTGAAGTGGGACGTCTTTTAGGCTAAATAAGACTTAGAAGGTATTCCAGCACACTGTATAATGGAGCTATAGGAGATGTCTAGATTTACTGTAGATATTTTAAGCATGGAAAGAATTTATAAAATCGGCCAGAGTTCTACAGACAATCCGTTTTCAGTATAGGACAATATGTCTCAATATCGATCTTCTGCAAAGGGTCATAATTATTAATGAATCAAAATTCAAATAATCCAAATGGAAGCTCTCACAATAGCTATTGCAGGGAAAATTCATTTGAAGACGTATTCTCCGAATTTCGATTCCAGGGGCGGTTTGTCAAATTAATTACAGCACAGCTAACATTTTTTCCGTAGGCTCTAATTTCCGATATAAGTTTTTTTTATACCCTACGCTAATGAAAGTATATACACTTTGATTCTCCAAAAATGTGACTCAAGTTCGAAGATGAGGAATATCGGTGCACTTCTTCTGGTACCTCTCACACAAAATGGTCAAAATTGTGCTAAAAATTAATTTTATAATATCATGCAAACGCAAGACTACCCATTTTGTTGAACCCTAATTTGCTCAACCTATTATATTTAGCGTAGATCTAGTCCGATGTTGGGAGAATGGAATGTCCGTAGGTCAAGTCCGATGTTGGGACCCATTGGTCCACTCTTTGTGCTACCTTCCCCCACAAATGGCCAAAATGGTCAATATTTATAAATCCAATATCAGACGAATGGAATGCCCGATTTGAACCAAACCTTGCACAACCTATTATGTTTACCAAGTCTAGATCATGTCCGAAGGTGTGATTTGTCGGCGCTCTTCTTCTGGTACATCTCCCACAATGATTCAATATTTTATAAACTTGATTGATTAAAGCATATGCTTTATATAAAACGAATAATTCCGATGACCTCAGCAAACCATAGACTGAGGAGGAGGGTATATATCTGTCGGTGCTACCATCGGACACGTTTTTACTTGTTTTTAGAAATTATTTCATATTTTCCCATTTTTTATATCCTAAACGGAGAAGAGTAATTTCTATTGAAGTGGCATATTCTCAAAATTAGTGAAATTTTCCTTAGAATTTCTCAAAAATTTTCTTCAGAAATCGACTGATTTTTTTTCAGTAAATCTTATTTTCTTTCGAAATTTCACAAAAATTTTCTTCCAAATTCGTCCGGAAACTAAGATTTTTACTGAATTTCTTTTTTCACCGATATCTTTAATTTGGGCAGTGGTTCGGATTGAAATAAATTTTGTTGAGCAGTATCTTCTAATTACGGCTGTCTTTGAATCAAATCCGTTTCAGGCACGAAACGGGGAATTATTCATTTGATTCACATTTTGCATATCATAATAATTCATTATTAACTTAGATCAAGTTCGAACATGGAACATCCCAACACAGAGGTTAAACGTTTTGAAAACGTCAAGCGATTACCAAGCCTATGTAAAGATGGAAAATGGGTCATATTGGCCCACTACTCGTTGCACATCCCCCATGAAATGGTCAGGATTAAAAAAAATATATTGTGTATCCGCCACATTGAAAAGTCTAATTTTAGCCTCTACTACTACGTACCAATCCGAACCACTCACAAAAAGTGTCACAAATAAAATTCATATGAAACGGATTAAATATTCGCTTGGCTGGGTATTTTTTCTTTTGACACGTCTCACTATTTTTATAAAACCTAGATCTAATCTGTACATGACGAATTTTGGTACCTTTCCCTCTAGTTCCTCCCCCCACAAAGTGTACAAATTCCAAAAACTGATTTTCACTACAATTAGTACTGAGATTTTTCTCTCTGTGTATAATAATTGTTCAATGTTTATTATGTGGCGCCCAACGCGATAACGACATCTCGTCGTATCTGTAAATGAGTAACAATTTATTTTTGCCGTATAACACAACAAATGCAACAAAATACTAATTTATGGCATCAAAAAGACTCCTCCCCGGTCTGACATTATTGTGGTGACTATTCCGCCACTTGGTTGTGGGACCAAGCCAACTCATTTTGAATGCAATCAAAGTCAAATAAAAAGTATAACCAGGAGAACACGAACACCAAATGAAATAATGTGTATGTGTATGTGTGTGACCTAGGTGTGTTGTTTTGTCTCCGGCTATTTGTTATATGTTGTTGGCCAAAAAGTGACACCAACAACGAAATATTGCAAACACGTTTAAGCAAATAAATAAAATATAGTGGGGTACTACTTCGTCACATTTAAATTATTGGCTGGATTCATTAATTATGGGAATGAAAAATCTGTTGCTTGAAATACAGGGCCTTTCTATGAAGGACTTCAGGATGAAGAACATATTGTAAACTAATGGTAACGCATTAGGGTATTATGCGTTCTTTATATTAGTCACAGAATTATGGGATAATATGATCCCAACTCCCTAATGTTCGTTTCAAAATTCATCTACTACAAAGGTATCCTAAAGTTTTGTAACATTGTAGGTAATGATAAAATCTAATTTTATCCTGAAATTATCCAACTACCCCCACCTTCACATTGGCAAATATTGCAATGCAACTTTATGAGCAAATAATAATAAAAAAAAAACAAAAAAATAACACAGATATCATTTGATTGTTTGGTCACGAATAAACGCAGTGTAACCACCACCACCACTGCCGCCTCCAACAACATCATCACACTACATGACTGGCTGGTGGGTGACTCATTGCAACAAACGGGGCTATTTGTTGGTGGTCACAGATTTTCTCAGTCTATGCCCCCACTCAAAAGCGATGATGCAGTCATTTGTCTCGTCTATCCAATTATTTGTCGTCTATATTTGTGGTGCGGTGTGGTGGCGGGTTTGTCTCCCCATGGAGTATACAGTCGTCTACCCCATAGTCATCAATCTGAATATGGGCAAATATAGAAGCAACGTAGAAGAATAACACAAAAACGCATAACGTATGCAAAGCCTCCTCGTCCTCGTCGTCAGTCAATCAGACAATCAAATCTATTGTTTATTCAAATGACAATACAGTTATTTATGGTCGGTGTATTGTGTATCTCTTTATCGTTTGTTTAGTTATATGTATGTATGTTTTTGCCGATCAGTCGGTCGGCCTAACTGTCGGTTAGTTGGTTGGTTGGTTTGTTTATCTGCTGTGTCCTACCTAACGTCATCGCAATACATGATTGTCGCTACATTTCTAATGTTTTTGTTTTGTTGATTTTTCGGCCGGCCATGGTTCAAATACGTTTTCATATTTTCATATTTAGCGTTATTGTATTTCACATTTTTTTCTCGCTACTCCCCTCAATAATTCCACAATGTTTTTGTCGTTGATTTGGATCAAAGCTTAATGACATTTAACGGATTTTCTATTTAAAATGCACTACAATGCCAAAGTTTTTTTTCGGTTTTCTGGAATAACAATAGACTTTTTTGTTCGACATTTTTTTGTATAAGCAGAAATAATTACCAAGAAATGTACGAAGTTTTTAAATATGACTACCGCGCAGCTTTATATGGATGATATAACAAACATGAAGAAAATTAGAAAATGTGCTGGTTATGTCGGATATATTTTCTGATCTCACATGACTTATCACCAAAGAGATGACAATGTTTTTTTTTCCTTTTTTTTAATTGCCGTACATAACGAAACAAACTTCGGCTTTCATGAGTTCGTAATAGGCAAGCTTGACTGTGTTATACAAAAGATAATTTGTAGTAGTAATTAGTTCTGAATTAAATTAAATGTAATCACCAGTAAAACTTTTTACCTTTTACTATTATCGGCGATTGCTAAAGTGTTGTTTACATGTTTTAAAGCGAAATATTTTTATAAACAAGTAAAAAAGTGTGTCAGTCGGTCTAATTTTTCAAAATGGGGTGGGTTAGTGTGGGGTGCTAGCAGATATAATGCTCCTATATAGCCGATAGTTTCACTGAATCTATTATTACGGTAGTTTTGACTTACCTGTTCAAAAAACACATGCCATTATTTCAGTGTAGACACCTTAAACCACTTACTTGCCTCAACGTGCACGTAAGTGAAATCACTGCATAAAAATGGGACAATGTTAAATTTTCTGAAATATGGGATCAATGCTAAGTGTATTATAATGAAACAGAAGGACTATTGTTTGTAACGCATATACTTATTCCATTATTATTATGTGAACGACTGTTTTTCTTTTAACTTGATATTCTCTGTGCAGCTAAATGCAAAATTTTTAATTTTGTGCAGCTAAATCCAAAGTGTAGCTATGTACAAAGCAACTAAATTAAAACTACTGTAGTATGATAATG